CGGCGGGGGGGGGGGGGCCCCCCCGCCCCAGCCACTGGGTCCCACGGGGGGGCAGCAGGGCTGGGGGTGGCCAAACTGCCACGGGGCTCAACTTGACCCAGCCTGACCTTGGCTCTGTCACATCTTTGTTTCCATCCTGTCCCATCCCCATCCTGCCCCTGCCACCACCCTTTTCCCTGTCTTGGTCCCATTCCTGTCCCCATTTGATTCCATCCTCTCCCCAACCTGTCCTTATCCCCTCCCTGTCCCCATTCCTATCCCATCCCTGTTAACATTCGCATCACATCCCTATCTCCACGCTGTCCCCAACCTGTCTTCATCCTATTTCTGTCCCCATCTCATCCCTGTTCCCACCCTGCCTCTGCCTGTCCTTTTCCCTGTCTTGGTCCCTCCTGCTATCCATTCCTGTCCCTTCCCTGCCCCCATCCCCATCCTGTCCCCTGCCTGTCCCCCCTGTCCCCCTGCAGAAGCTGCGCCAGGACATCCTGCTGATGAAGCCCTACTTCATCACCTGCAAGGAGGCAATGGAGGCGCGGCTGCTGCTGCAGGTCAGGCCCTGAACGGGGAATGGTGGTGGTCAGGGGGTCCTGGAGGGGGCGACAGTGACAGCAGTGACAGTGACAGCAGTGACAGTGACCCTACCTGCAGCTGCAGGACCGCCAGCACTTTGTGGAGAACGACGAGATGTACTCACTGCAGGACCTGATTGACATCGAAGCTGGACGCCTGAGCTGTTCCCTGACAGAGATCCACACCCTCTTTGCCAAACACATCAAACTGGATTGCGAGGTGAGAGCTGTGGGGCAGCCATGGGGCAGCTGTCGGGCTGGGGGGGGTGATGAGCACCTCTCTTATGAAGACAGGCTGGGGGAGTTGGGGTTGTCCAGCCTGAAGAAGGCTCTGGGGGGACATTATAGTGACCTTCCAATACCTGAAAGAAGGCTGGGGAGAAGCTGTTCACAGGGCATGTAATGATAGGACAAGGGGTGATGGTTTCAAGCCAGAAAAGGGCAGATTTAAGTTGGAACATTAGGAGTAAGTTCTTTAATATGAGGGTGGTGGATCACTGGAACGGGCTGCCTGGAGAGGTGGTGAAGGCCCCGTCCCTGGAGGTCAGGCTTGATGAGGCCCTGAACAATCTGGTCTAGTTGGAGACATCCCTGCTGATTATAGGGGGGTTGGACTAGATGACCTTTAGAGGTCCCTTCCAACCCAAACCATTCTATGATGATGATGTCCCCCAACCAACTCTCGGGATATTCTCCCCAGCGTTGCCAAGCCAAAGGTTTTGTCTGTGAGCTCTGCAAGGAAGGCGATGTCCTCTTCCCTTTCGACAGCCACACCTCCGTCTGTACCGACTGCTCCGCCGTTTTCCATCGGTAACAGCACCGGGAATGGCACTGGGAAACCCCCAGTGTGTGGGGAGGGGACACACACGCTGGTGTCATGGTGATAACCCCATGGTTACCCCCTTTCTCCCCCACCAAAACAGGGACTGCTACTATGACAACTCCACCACTTGCCCCAAATGTGCCCGGTTGAGCTTGCGGAAACAATCCCTCTTCCAGGAATCCAGTACTGAGGCAGAGATTTAAGCCAGGTGGTGGTGGTGGGGCTACTGGTTGCCCACCCACACTTGCCACAAGGCTTGAGACAGAGCCAGGGGCCAGCCCAGCCCCCCAGC